GCAGGAGAATCGCTAGAACCCAGGAAGCGGAGGTTGCAGTGAGCCGAGATGGTGCCATTGCACTCCATCCTGGGCAAGAAGAGCAAAACTCCGTTTCCAAAAAAAAAAAAGAAATTCCTTTACACATGTGTCTTTGGAGAGTGTAAAACATGCGGCATAGGGAACAGGATAAAATGCTTCATTAAATAGCATGGGACTGATTTATTTATTAAATTGGCACTCTTAGAAACATATTTACGCATCTCCTTAAAAAGTGTATAATGGGCTGGGCATGGTGACTCACACCTGTAATCCCAGCACTTTGAGAGGCCAAAGTGGGCGGATCACCTGAGATAAGGAGTTTGAGAGCAGCCTGGCCAACATGGTGAAACCCTGTCTCTACTAAAACTAAAAAAATTAAAAATAGCTAGGCGTGGCATGGGGGCAGTTGCCTATAGTCCCAGCTACTCAGGAGAAGGAGGCAGGAGAATCGCCCGAACCTAGGAGGCAGAGGTTGCAGTGAGCCAAGATCTCACCACTGCACTCCAGCCTGGGCAACAGAGCTGGAGTCCATCTCAAAAAAAGCAAATGAATAAATAAAAGTGTGTAATGGGCAGAAGAGTGTTGAATGCATGATTCAATGAAATAAAATTCTTCTGATTCAGTCACATAACTATACTTCATATGGTTTGGATATTTGTCCCCTCCAAATCTCATGTCAAAACGTGATCCCCAATGTTGGAGGTAGGGCCTGATGGGGTGTGTCTAGGTCATGAGGGCAGATCCCTCATGAATGGCTTGGTGCTATCCTCGTGATAAATGAGCAAGTTCTTGTGCTGCGTTCACATGAGATCTGGTTGTTTAAAAGAGCTTGGCCCCTTCTCTCTCTCTCCTGCTCCCACCCTCACCCTGGGATGTGCTATTCCCCCTTCACCTCTGGCCATGACTGTAAGCTTCCTGAGGCCCCTCACCAGAAACTGAATAGATGTTAGCTCCATGCTTGTACAGCCTGCAGAACCGTGAGCCTGCTAAACCTCTTTGCCCGGACAACACGGTGAAACCCCATCTCTACTAAAAATACAAAAATTATCTGAGCATGGTGGCACACACCTGTAATCCTAACTACTTGGGAGGCTGAGGCAGAAGAATCACTGGAACTTAGGAGGCAGAGTTTGCAGTGAGCAGAGATTGAGCCACTGAACTCCAGCTTGGGCGACAGAACAAGACTCCGTCAAAAAAAAAAAAAGAAAAAAACTCCTCTTTGCTTTATAAATTATCCAGCCTCAGGTATTTCTTTATAGTAGTGCCAAAATGGCCTAGCACAGTGCTCTTCAAAATATTTTTACGCATGTATCTGTTGCGAATGTATAGCCTGCAGCATGGAGTACTAAATGCTATGCTTCACAGTAATACCACTATACTAAATCATTCCTACCACCGGCACTCTAAGTGTCTTTCATACATGTGCCCTAGCATATATAACATAAAGCACAGATTATCAAATACAGTATTTTAGATATAAAATGGTCCTGATTCATTTAAAACGAGTACTTTAGACAATACTGAACACATGGCTCTTTAAAGAATGTATAGCAGGCAGCACAGAGTGGTCAACACAGTGGTTCAAACAAATTATAGTATCTGATTCACTCAGGTAAGTAGAAATCTTAGAAACATCTTTTAAGCATGTTTGGAGAATGTATAACATGTAGCAAAGAGTTTCCCAGACATTTCACAGTACTGATTCATTCACACAACTAGCACTCTTAGAAATATCATCATACGGCCGGGCGTGGTGGCTCATGCCTGTAATCCTAGCACTTTGGGTGGTTGAGGTGGGCAGATCACAAGGTCAAGAGATCGAGACCATCCTGGTTAATACAGTGAAACCCTATCTCTACTAAAAATACAAAAAAAAAAAATTAGCTGAACATGGTGGTGTGCGCCTGTAGTCCCAGCTACTCGGGAGGCTGAGGCAGGAGAACTGCTTGAACCTGGGAGGTGGAGGTTGCGGTAAGCCGAGATAGTGCCACTGCACTCCAGTCTGGCAACAGCAAGACTCTGTCTCCATAAAAAAAAAAAAAATTACCATCATACACGTGTATTTTGTTTTTTAAAACAGGTCTCGCTCTGTCACCCAAGCTGGAGCGCAGTGGTATGAACTCAGCTCACTACAGCCTCCACCTCCCAGGCTCACATGATCCTTTCACACCTTAGCCTCCTGAGTCGCTGGGACTATAGGCGTGCACCACCACACCTGGCTAAATTTTGTGTTTTTTGTAGAGATGGGGTTTCACCATGTTGCCCAGGCTGGTCTCAAACTCCTGGGCTCAGGCAGTCCACCCACCTCAGCCTCCCAAAGTGCTGGGATTACAGGTGCAAGCATGTGTCTTTACACACTATTCAGCCCACACTGCTGAACAGAGTGTGTCACATCAAAACACTTGATTCATGTTTTGTCCACACAGCAAGCATTCTCATAAACATGATTTACGCATGTCTCGTTAGAGTACATAACAGGCACAACAGATGGAAATACAGTGTGTTATGGGCTCAATTGTGCACCCCCACAAAATTCAAAGGAAGTCCCAAGCCCCAAAAGGTCAGGATGTAACCATACTTAGATATAACCATACTGATGGGGCGTGGTGGCTCATGCCTGTAATCTTAGCACTTTAGGAGGCCGACGCAGGCAGATCACCTGAGGTCAGGAATTCGGGAACAGCCTGGCCAACATGGTGAAATCCCGTCTCTACTAAAATGCAAAAATTAGCTGGGCGTGGTGGCGGGTGCCTGTAATCCCAGCTACTCGAGAGACTGAGGTAGAAGAATTGCTTGAACCTGGGAGGCAGAGGTTGCAGTGAGCTGAGATGGTGCCACTGTACTCCAGCCTGGGCTACAGGGTAAGACTATCTCAAAAAAAATAAAAATAAAAAAATAACAATGAAAACGGTGTAACCATATTTAGAAATAAGTTTGTAAAGAGATGATTAAGTTAAAACAATGCAGACAGGCCTGGTGGCACATGCTTATGGTCCCAGCTACTTTGGCCATTGAGATAGGAAGATTGCTGGAGCCCATGAGGTCGAGATTGCTGTGAGCCATGATCTCACCACTGCACTCTATCCTGGGTGACCGAGCAGGACCCTGTCTCAAAAAATAAAAAAGCAATTAGGGTGAAGTCCTAATCCAATAGGACAGATGTCCTTATAAGAACAGAAAGAGATACCAGAAGTGAACATGTACAAAAAAGGAGCCATCTGCAAGCAAGGCAAAGAGGACTCAGGAGAAACCAAATATGTCAGCACCTTGGTCTTAGACTTCCAGGCTCCAGAACTGTGAGCAATGAACTTCTGCTTTTTAAGTCTCCAAGGGTGTGGTGTTTTGTTAGAGTGACCCTAGCAAACTGGGGTTAATTTTGGTACTGGGAGGCAGAATATGGCTGTAACAAAGTTCTAAAAAAGTGGAAGTAGCTTTGGAACTGGGTAATGGGTAGGGATTAGAAGAGTTTTGAGGTACCTGTTAGAGAGCATAGATTACCCTGAAGAGATTGTTGGTAGAAATGTGGGTGGTAAAAACCATTCTGATGAGAACTCATGTGGAAAAGATGAGTATGTTGTTGGAGAATAAAGGTCATCTTTGTTACACAAAGCGGTGAAGGGGTTGAATTGTGCCCTAGCATTTTGTGGAAAGCAGAATTTGTGGTAAACTTGGATATTTAGCTGACTGAAGAGATATCTGAGCAAAGTATTAAAAGTGTGGCTTGATTTCTCCTTACTGCTTATAATAAAATGTGGGAGAAAATAGATAAATTGAAAGTATTATTAAGCAAAAAGGAACTAGAACTTGAAGACTTGGAATATTATGAGACTACTCATATTTCCAAAAAAAAATAGTGATTTCTGGAAAGAACACCAAGAATGTGGCTGGAAAATCACCCAATAACAAGATTATGGGTGTGACTCATAGATCTACTTAGCCATCTCAGCAGAAGCCAGGAAAAGGCATGGGGCTGTACCAGCAGAAACACTGACAGCTTGGACCAAAGAGGACAGAGATGGCACACGATGAAAGAAGAGTGTCAGATTTGTGGGATTGTACAGGAGGAAACAATAGATCTGTGAACATGTGTTATCCTTCAAGTAAAGAAAGGAATGACTCTGAAGTGATTCTGAGATTGGCAGGGCTTCAACTACCACCACAAGCAAAGAAAGCACAGAACCAGGGGTTGAGCTTGTCACCTCCTTGGGTACGGCAGCCCAGGTCACCACCATCTAGGTCCCCAGAGCAGGGCTGTCATTCAGGCTTTGGGGTTGGGGGTGTCGCCCTGGGCTCTCCTGGGAGGGCTGCCAACCAGGGCGATCGGAGCAGGGTTGCTGCCCGTTGTCACAGGAAAAGCTTCCTCCCCACTGGGCCAGAAAGGTGGGACTGCAACCACAGTGTGCTCAGAAGACACAAGATCAAACCAAAGATACTTCTTCTTGAGTCTTAAAAGCTAATGACATTTTTCTGATAGGTTTTGGAGTTGCTTGAGACTTATGGCCTCTCTCTTCCTTCCAATTTCTGTCTTTTGGAAAGGGAATGTCTATCTTTTGCCTGTCCCAGCACTGTAGTTTGAAAGCAGATGACTTGCCTGATTTCACAGGTTTACACCTGAAAGGGAATTTTCTCCTCAGGAGACATCATCCACACTAAATTTAGATGTTCTGAGTGAGTCTCACGCAGGCTAGATGTAGATACGCTGACAAGATTTTGGGCATAGAGTTGATGCTGAAATGGGCTGATATGTTGGGGTTTTGAAATGAGGTAGATTTATTTTGCACATGATAAGGCCATAAATTTGGGTGCCCAGTAGGTGGAATGTTATGGAATGAATTGTGTCCCCATACAGTGTCTATGTTGAGATCCCAAACCCCAGTATCTCAGGGTGTAACTGAATTTGAAGATAAGGTCTTTAAAGGGGTGAATACGTTAAAATGATGCCATAGAGTGGAAGCCTAATCTAATTGGTGTCCTTATAGAAGAAGAGATACCACGGGTGCACCTGCACAGAGGAAAGGCCACGTGAGGACACAGTGATAACACAGCCATCTGCAAGCCTCTAAGAGAAGACTCAGGAGAAATCAGACCTGCCAACACTTGAGCCTCCACCCTCCTGAACTGTGAGAATATTAATTTCTTTTTTGTAAGTCTCCCAGTAAATTATATTTTGTTATGTCAGCCCTAGAATACTAATACACGGTGTTTTGCAGAAATGATATTATCCTCGTTAATTTAAGCAAATAGCATTGTTAGAAACACGCTTATATATGTGCCTTTAAAGCATGTGTGACACGTGGCAGGTGCTGAACACAGTGTTCTTTCATGCAATCAGCACCTTTAGAAACTTTTTCTTTAACAAGAAGGTAAAAATGCAGCACAGACTAGGCAACCCAGTGTTAGGCAGACAAAACAGTATTCTGACTCACTCAGGGAAGAAGAGCTCTTAGAATCATCATTCACACTTATGTCTATGGAGAGAATATAATGTGCAGAACAGCGTGCTGAACAAAGTGCTTCACAGATTATCCTGATTCATGAATGCAAACAGAAGACTTCGAAAAAATTGTTTAAATGTCTCGATAGATATTGGATAACCTATGGCACAGACCGTTGAACAAAGCATTTCACTAAAAACACGATTGTGATTCATTCACACAAGTATTCTTTTATTTTGTATGTACATGTCTCTGGAGAGCATGTAACATGCTGCATAGACTGGTGAACCCAAGGATAGACAGAAAAAAATGTTATCCTAATTTATTCAGGTAAGAAGAGCTTTTAAAATCATATTCATGCTATGTATATGGAGAGACTATAACATGTAGGGCAGAGTGTGAACAGTGTGCTTCACAGAAATACCGCAGTAACACTGTCTTGATTCATTCATGCCACTAGCACTCTTAGAAATAGCTTTTATACATGACTTTTAGAGCACATATAGCACAGAGGGCTTGATATGCTTTGGATCTATGTCTGTATTAGTCCATTCTCACACTGCTATAAAGATAGTACCTGAGACTGAGTAATTTATAAAGAAAGGAGGTTCACACCATGGCCTCTGTATACCTGTGTTACAAACCTGCACGTTCTGAACATGTATCCCAGAACTTAAAGTATAATTTAAAAAAAAAAAGAAAGAAGCAAGGAACAAAGACTGAAGAAACAACACTTGATTTTTGGGACTTTGAGATCTCACACTGAGAGACGGTGTCTGAAAGCAAAGCAATTAATACTGCCTATAGAGTCCATTCACAGTAACACACTTATCCATTCTTAGACTCTCGGTGAAAATTCTGCAACTGTCTGGATTTGCATATTCAGTTTCCTGTATTCAAAGAATAGATATGTGTGTAGCCTTGGAAAAAATTTACTTTTCCCCAGACTTCAACATCATTTAAATGATACTGATAATGGAAAGATTTCCTCAACATACTAATTTCAGGAATACCAGAAACATTCTCTCTTTTGAAAAATAATAATGAAAAAAAGAGAGAATAGTCTCCCTAAGGTGTTAGTAGTCTAAACTCTAGTAAAGTGATTTCTAAGTAACTGATTAACAGTAATAAAATAGTTTCATTGGTTTAAAAAAAGAAAAGAAAGGAGGTTTAATGGACACACAGTTCTGTACAGCTCGAGAGGTCTCAGGAAACTTACAATCGTGGCGGAAGGTGAAGGGGAAGCAAGGCACGTCTTACATGGTGGCAGAAGAGAGAGTCAGAAGGGAGAGGTGCCGCTTATCAAACAACCCAATCTCGTGAGAACTCTGTCACAAGAACAGCATGGCAGAAACAACCCCCATGATCGAATCACCTCCCACCAGGATCCTCCCTTGACATATGGGGATTATAATTAGAGATGAGATTTGGGTGGGGATACAGAGCCAAACCGTATCAGTGACTCCACCAAATCTCATGTCGAATTATAATCCCCAGTGTTGGAGGCGGCGTCTGCAGCACTCATTTGTTGAACACAGTGTTTCACAGAAATAACCCTGTCCTCATTCATCCACAGAGCAAGCATTCTTATAAACATCTTTTATCATCTCTTTTTAGAGAATGAATAACATACAACTCAGGGTGCTGGACATAGCAATTCTAGGAAATGAGACTAATCTGATTCATTCAGGCCAGTAGCCTTCTTACAATCATCTTTTACATGTGAAGTACAAATTGGTGAATGTAGGGTTTCACAAAAATACCATTATCCTGATTTGTTCACATAACTAGCAATCTTAGAAATAACTTTTATATATATATATCTCTAAGCACAGAATGTTTTCAGTTTTATACAGAACAGTATCCTGATTCATTAAGGAAAAAGAATTCTTAGCAACATATGTTATACATGTTTCTTTACAGAAAAACATGTATTTTTAATATATGCATGTATAACATGCATCACAGGTGGTAAACATTGTATTTCACACAAATAACAGCATCTTGATTTATCTGATTCATTTACACAAGTAACAAATAAAACTATCCTGATTTGTAGAGTAGTGTTACTAAACGCTGTTGGAAAAAAGAAAGAAAGAAAAAAAACGCTGTTGGAAACATCTTTTAAACATGTCTGTTTACAGAACATATAACATGCACCTCAGAGTGTTAAAGAGAGTGATTCACACAAGTGACACTATCTTGACTCATTCTGGAGCGAACATTCTTATAAACATCTTTGCTCATGTCTCTTTAGGGAGTGTATATCATACAGCAGAGTGGTGAACCCAGTGTTATACAGAAAGAATGGTGTCTTGATTTGTTCGTGTAAAAGGAAACCTTATGGCTGGGCACAGTGGCTCACACCTGTAATCCCAGCACTTTGGGAGGCCGAGGCAGATCAATCTCCTGAGGTCAGGAGTTCGAGACAAGTCTGGCCAGCATGGCGAAACCCTGTGTCTACTAAAAATACAAAAAATTAGCTGGGTGTGGTGGTGGAGATTTTGGTGGGTGCCTGTAATACCAGCTTCTCGGGAGGCTGAGGCAGGGAGAATTGCTTGAACCTGGGAGGCAGAGGTTGCAGTGAGCCGAGATTGCACCACTGCACTCCAGCCTGGGTGACAGAGCGAGACTCCATCTCAAAAAAGAAAACCCTAGAATCGTCCCTCACACATCTATGGGGAGTGTATACATGCAGTAGAGATTGGTGAGTACATATCTTTCAGACAAAAAATAATATGCTGATTAATTCGCATATTAGACACATCTTTATATTGGTGAATGTAAGTTTCACAAAAATAGGTGTGTCTAATATGCTACACACACTAGCATATTAGACACATCCTTAACAGATGTCTCTTTTAGAAAACATATAACATGCAGCACAGTGTGATAAACATAGTATTTCACAAAATAATGCTAATGGGCCAGGCGCGGTGGTTCACGCCTATAATCCCTGCATTTTGGGAGGCCGAGATGGGCGGATCACTTGAGGTCGGGAGTTCAAAACCAGCCTGGCCAACATAGTGAAACCCTGTCTCCTACTAAAATTACAAAAAAGTTAGGCCAGGCATGGGGGCACACCTGTAATCCGCAGTTACTCAGGAGCTGAGGCAGGAGAATCTCTGAACCTGG